ACAACCTAATCTATATACCAGCTCCAGAAAAGGATTTGCATGTTAGTAGTCTAAATTGCTTAAAGGTCCAACATTTGGTCCTTCAGCAATGTTGAGGAAGTGGTGGCCCAAGTCGTGGTACCCCCTGGACCAGGTGGATGTAAAAAGGAACCAGGACTGCTGTCCACACTAGAAGCAGCTTCCACCAAATAAAGAGCATGTGAATCATTGAGATGATTGCTCATAGTTAAGCTGTGATGGTCTGCATTACTCTAGCAACTAGTCCAAGCATCCAGCACAGACAAAGCTATTTTGCATGGGAGAATTCTTATATAAGAGCTCATCTGTAAGATTTGACAGGTAGCTACTACAAAATGCAAACTACGTTCTTCAAGAGGGGAAGAATGGACTGCTAGCAATGACATCAGCTGCCACTGGGGTAGGATTAATGTATGATCAAAAGCAAGATTGGATGCAAAATTTTAATGCTTATTCTGCACCAAACAATACAGTTGAGAGATGATAGTTGAGGGAAACTTCAGAAAAGCAAACCAGCTTTCTTATGTAAATTGCATGAGAAATTGCATTGACTGTAAATTTGGTGTTTTGATTCATTGCAATGCCATTAGCAGAGCACTTGGTAAAAGTGGTCCCTACTGTAATACAGTCCCAAGCAGACTTGTCAGAATTATGGGCGATCCTTAGAGAAGGCTGGAGCCTAAAATGACAGGTAATTGCTGCAGAATTGCAGTTGACAGCATCGAGGATTACATGTCAGAAGAGGTTTTCCCCTCTTTCCTTTAGAAACATGATTTTATCAGATGACTTGTCTACCTTTGCACTGAGTATAGGAAATGCAGGCTACTAAGTCATGCTGATACTGAAAACTAATGTTAAAAGAATACAATTACCAATTTGATGCATTATCTTTCCATTAATGGGGCTGAGCCAGACATGGAGTTAGACAAGCAATTTTATCTCATTTGGTTCATTTGGAAAGTTAAGTATTAGTTACTTGCATGTTTCATTTTTAATCTATGAGGTAAACATTCACATGCAAGTATTGTGCTTTAACTTAGACAATACACCACACATGAGGTCACCACTGTTACCACTTCTACCTATTCCTCAGCCAAAAAGCTAACACATTCAGTCTGCTCTTAAATGCCTGGAATCCTTTATGATAAATGCCATCAGTGTAACATAGGCGTAGCATGCTTCTAAATCAAAACCATAATGATGTATAGCTGATGTTCATTCAACAGAATTGTTTTTCTGTCAAGCCAGTTAGTCCAGCTGGAGCTCTGGTGCAGAAGATACTGGGAAGTGAAGAACTGAGCCCATGACCCAGTAGCCAGTGCAAAAGAATCCATTGAGGCAAGGCAGTCAAAGAACATGTCTCCATGCAGAGAGTTATCAGTCACAAAACAGGTATGTCAATAGCAATTAGCATTGTTCAACATGCTATGACTGAAAAGGAAGGAAATAAAATTAACACTAATTGTATCTTCTTTCAGTTCATCATTTCAGTGCATAGCCACCTTAACATATACATAAGGTCAGACAAAAAACCACTACACACTTGTATGGTTGGAACTAGCTGATCTTTAATGTCTCTTCCCACGCAAACCATTCCATGATTAAACACTATTTTTAGAGTAGTCTGTCAGTCTCCCTCATAACTTCTGAAGCTGTTGCTCTATTAGCCCAGATGTGAAAAAGAGATTGTGTTGTAGCTATTGCTGTTCTTACAGTCTACTAAAAATCATCATCCAGGTAAAAGAGAGAAGCACAAATCAATGCTCCATGCTGGAAGAAGGGTAGGCTTTAGCAGCAGCCAAGCAGAGGCTAAACTAGCATAACTCAGGAGCAATACTGGCTCTCATCCATGAGGGAGACTGTAAAGAAGAGCTGGGATATGGCAGTGAAGAGAATGGAACCATTGAAGGACAAACCACAGATCTGCAGGAACTCAGGCTTTATTGCCTCTGCTTCTGCTGGAACAACTTGTTTCTAAACTCAAGATTCAAAGGGTTCTTTGTGTATAATTGCTAGTGATGAAGGATAGTAAGGACAAAAAGATGGGCTCTCACTGTCTGGCAATCAATCAGAGTCGTTCCCCCCAGTCCTTCAGGCATACAGTCCTGTTTCAGCAGTAAAACCTGATGTAATTGGATTGCAACTATTGCTTTCAAAAAGGTAAGAGTATTACCATAATTATTTAGTATAGTTTGTTCATATTGTTAAAAAATGTACTGTAATCTGCCTATGGGACCAACTGATTTATGTGCGCAGGGCTTTTAAAAATTTATAAATCACAAATGAGTTCACAGTGATTTGAGTATTGTAATGACAGGACCAATTCAGACAATATCAAGGTATTGAATAAACTCACAGTCTATTGAAGCATTAGAAAAGACGGTGAGTAACACAGCAGAATTGGAATATGACAGAAGCACAGCATAACTTCCATGTCTGTCTTAATTTTCACTAGTGTAGCCAATACTTGTTTGTTTGCTTTTCAAAATACATCTAGCCACATCCAAGAGGGTTTGTGAAAATTGTCAACAAACTCAGCTCAGCCACATCCACTCTTGGTTGAGTAGATGTGTAATAACTGGTTAGCCAGGACTCCAGCTAGCGTACAAACAGCAACTGTGATTAAATTCACTTCATACATACCTTGTTATTTCAGAGTGTATTTCCAATATCTAATAAATCCAAACTTTTTTTTTTTTTTTTTTTACATTTTTACATTATGTTTCAAGACAAATTTGCTGAGGTGCTGAGCACCACTCAGTACAGCAGTTTTCTGTATGGTCAGCATTAGCTGATGGCCCACATATTTCAGGCTTGACCTAAGTACAGGTCAGCAGTTTGAAAGGGAAAGCAATGTTCAGTGGGCAAACTGATCTATGAAAAAAGAAAGGCCTTTACTGACCTTCACTAAAATCTGTGACTGCCTTAAGATAGACCGGATTTTGCTGATACATAGAGCACTAGCACCAATTGGAGGGGGCTGGTTGATTGTGTGTCATGGTCTCTAAGCTGCATATTCCTTTTTTGCTCAAGAGGTTTCCCGTAAGCTCTTTGGGTATTGCAGTTGGTATTTGTTTGCTAATCAGTACTCAGGGGTCCCAAAAATAATATCTATTGGGTCAGTATAGAATTATCCTAGTTGTCCTTTGTTACTGGATATCACTGTGTCATGCAGCTTCACAACAAATAGAAAATTCCAAATTGCCACAAATCTAGGTTTGTGAAATTCTGTAAGCACTAAGTCCATTCAATAGGGGCACAAAGGTTTTAAGGCTTTTAAGACAGATCTTAAGCTAGCATAGAGGCTGCTTTAAGGATGTCACAAGTCAGTTTTACTTCATATTTTGTAAGTAAAGAAAAAATCTACTGCATATCCTTCCTTAGCTTTTACCTGCTTTTTGGAATGCCTGGCTCTGTTTTAGAGAAAGTAAGAAAGAGCTGCATCTATAAGCAAATATAAGCAGGTTTGTAATTCAGATTCCAAAAGGAGTTGTAAAGGTTTAAACTACACACAATAAACATTTCAAACTTTATTTCTTGCCTTTGGTGTATACACAGAGTAGTTGCAACCAGGCACGCCATGTTTTCTAGCAAATAATTCCTAGGAATGTAAATTCCAGTGCAGTGGTTGTCAGATATTTTATGTTCTGTACATAGCAATCTTGGCACAGTAATTTTGTTAGAATCAATAAACCAAGAGTCATGCCTGGGATGAACAAGAAAACAAAATGGCAGTAAGCCTGAGCGTTTGTCTGGTACTCAGGGTGTGTTTCAATAGTTTAAGGGTTATTTTTATTAGAAAATGTTAGAATTTAAATACTGGTTCACAGGGTCTTCCAAGTGTTGGATATTTTTACTCTTTACATCATTAGTTTTCAATTCAAGTGGTCTTTCACTTCACTAGAATTTTCAGTACTGAATTTAGTATGGTTTTATTTGAACTATATTATCAAATTAAGAGTTTTCTTTCATGTTGCAGCTGTCCATTTAAATATTTTGTGAAAAGGAGAAGGCTATACAAATAAAATATAAAAAGAATAGTTCTAATCAAAGCTGAGTACTGTGGCAGTAATATTCTTCTTGGTAAGCTGCAAGATGCATGGATTATTTATTTGTAACTACTATATTTCGTACTTTGGGTTTTGCCTTAAGATTTGCAATGAGAATAAATAGTCTGTCACTACAACATGCTTTATGTAGTAAAGCAAAATGACTAGTCTCTTCTAAAACATGCTAAGGCTGGTAATCTTAAGAGTTACTTTGTCACTGCAGTTGAAGTTTCAGGCCAGCTCTTCAGTGAGGTGTTTTGGGAGCCAGGAACCTTAGGGCTAAGCAGGGTTCTATTTCAGGTCTCTAGGATTTCTCATCAAATCAATACAAAGTTTCTACCTGCTCCTATTAAAAACTTTATTCAAGAATAGCATGTACGTCAAATGGTTTTGTTACTAAAACAGAAACAGGCACACAGACAAGAATAGACACTAAAATACATAGTTTGACCAAAAACCCCCATGATTTACATACATGAAAATGAGCGATAACACTGAAGAGTACAAAATGGTAAAAATTAGATAGTCATCTGTGACACAGGTAACTGTGCTGAGCTCCGCTGCATCATTTTGGTAGGTTTCAGACCTATTCCAGACACACACAAACCTGAAAGATGCTTTTATGCATTTGGAAGCGACCCATATGTTACAGAAAGTTCTTTTTAATGTCTTCCTGGGTTAGCTAAATAGAGGTCATCACATCATTAAATTACTTGCTACTGGATCAAAATTTCCATGACTGGAGCCATTCAGTTAAGCAAATAGCTATACTGTTATTTTAAAAATGATCCAAAATATCTGTACGTAATTGTGGACTAAAATACCATTTTCATTATTTTTCTTTATTGAGAAATAAGATATGAGTAATTACATACTTTCACAATAGAGGAAGGAAAGAAGAGAGTGCTGTACAGCTAGAGATACAAGCTTGTTTTATGTAGACTGTTTATAAGATAAAGCAACAAAAGCTTTTCTGATGTTGGCAACAAACACAGAAAAATTGTTAGTTTCTCTCACTTTGAGGTGGAACTCTTCTATACAATCCAGAGGAGGAGTACAGGAAGTCACTAAAAAGACATGAATTTCCAAGAGATTAGACTATTAAAAAAAACCAAACAAACCCAAACTTCTATTAAGTGTTTTTCCACACCTATGGAATAGAAATGCAGTTTATCTTTGTATTTTTAGCTTACTTCAGTATTCTTTTTGATTAGCCCATTAAATCATTTTCTTTCAGCAGATAAAGCCTAAAACACCACTCAAATTCTTTTTACATTTCTAAGCCTCTTGCTCAGTGCTGTGCTCCTGCTTGAATTGTTATAGCAATTCCCAGTAATCCACACCCTGCTCAGAAACTGAAATGCGTTCCTGAACATTTTTGTTGCTCTGCAGGCAGGCAGATTTAAAACTGATGTAGGCCAGCATGTGATAAACTTTTAACTTCAGCATAGTTTAGACTTGAATTAATAAAAACAGAAATCTATTCAAGTCCATGGGCACAGCAAAGCAACAGTAGCATTCATCTAGAAGCTGCTCAGCACAGTACTGAAATTACTGCCACTGATCTTCCTAACTGAAGTAAGATCCATGTTGCAAAACCAGCTTTAAGAGCTCAAAGGCCTGCTTACAGAGGCGGAATGGTGGATTTCAAGTTTTAGCCTTTCTCCTATGCCAAACAGCTGTAAGGGCTCCCCTCAGTACTGGGGAACCTAGTTTCTCCTGCCTTCTAGACTTCTCAAATGAATTGAACTATGCTTGTCAGCATGAACACTCACTTTAGCATCAGACTACAAACTGACACATCAGTTTCTCTGTGCGTCTCTCTCCTGCTTTGCTTGACACAGAGTAACAGCAACTCCACAATTGGAGGTGGGTGAAGCAGTTGTATTTTCATACACATTAACAAGAGAAGCTCCATTTTTAAAAATATTACTAAAAATATTGCTAAATTTATCACTCAAATTGGAAGATAAAGGTTACAACTAAATGGTACTTCATTCTCCTCCCACCACCACCTTTTTTCTTTTTTTTTTTTCCGAATAGGGGCAGCAGATTTTGCTTAAGTAATTAAAATTCACATACCTTCGTAATCTCCTTGTTCATTTATGGAAAAGGTACACACATATGGTTTGTCGGGATCTTTGTGGTCAATGTGTCTGAATATAAACTGTAATTGTTCATCTAAAGCAAATACAAACAACACCATTAACCTCTGCTGGAGAGTCACAATGATGACTAAAAAAGTCATAATATGAAGCTACAGTTCCAATTAATATTCTTAGTTAAGCAACCCATGTCTCTTTGAAAGACAAATGCATTTTAGTATCCTGTATTTTGCCATTTGAGAGACAGTGGTAATACCTGGACTAAGACAACTCTTCAGTTGTCTAAGCTAGGATGTTCTTCATTGCACAATCCAACATTAACCATATTGTATCACTGCACATGGAAACTTACTGTGAGTTCTGCATATCTCCAGTCCAAGCCTCTCTTCAAAGAATGTTTTCAACTTGCATAGTTGTTCCTCTCTCTCCTTAGTGCTTTTGGATTTAGAAGCTATTGCTAGAATTTTAAAAGCCACCATAAATATCAAAGTAAAGGTGAAACAAGCGCATTAAAAAATGTTTGGAACAGTAGAAAAGCCCATCAAGAACAAGTGTTGAAAACAATTCCTCCTCTAAGTAAGAAAATATACTCATCCTTTGCTTGCTTACTTTCCTTCTTCATCTGTTCTTTAAGCTCTTGGATGCTGTCAGTCAAGTCCTTCTTTTGCTGCTTTTCTTGATTAAGGATAGCATTTATTTCTGTCAAGTGCTCTTGATTTTCTGATATGCATTGGCTCTGTTGGAGCAACTCTGAAAGGAGGCAAGTAAATATGAACATATACAGCTGATTAGTTAGGTCCCTGCTATTTACTACTCATCTATATAGTCTGAGATGACTTACTTGAATAAAACCCAGTTAAATGCACGCAACCTTAGATGAAGAGTGTAGTCAGCATAATCGTACTAAGATCATCAAATAAAAGCTGAAAGTTATTCAGAAGAGAAGCTACTAAGTAGTGGGCTTCTCTGATACTTCAATCAGATGCAATTTGTTTCTGGTGCCAGCACTATACTCGTCTTGAAAGCATGAGAATGGTGGACCCTGTACGCAGGCAAATAATTTGAAAGAAAGCAAGGAATGGGAACACTGACTGACACTAGAGTTGCAATTATTTTTTATCTAGATTTGCAATTATTTTTTATCTGATATTCTGAAGTTTAACTACAAATTCAGAGAAGTTAATCCTAGACTGATAGGCTGACTGTACTCTGTTCCTAACATGGAAGAGGCGTAAGTAACCTCACAATATTTAACTTGACTAAGCAATTTAATTTATTTTTCCTATTGCAGTCAGCAAGTTCTGGTACTTTGTTGTTTTAAATATTTAGGCACCAAGACCAGCATACAGAAAACTTTTACCAGACCTTTATTTATGTGCACCATGAATGAAGTTTTCCAACAAACTGCTTTTGACTTGCAATTTACATCCTGTCCCCTAACCAACTAAATATGTTTGCTTTTAATTCTGCCTTCATTCTGATGTTGTTTGTTACCTTTTAAAACGGGATGTTAAACATATTATTCAGCTGTATCAAGTTTAAACATATTAGACACAATAAATCAAACACCATACTGTACCATTGCTATACTCCTGAATTTTATCAATCATCAGGTCCCTTTCTTTCAGCTTCTTGGACCATTTCTCTGCAATGGAAAAATATTTCAGTTATCTGGAGAAGTTTGATGATTAACTTTGAAAAAGTAGAGGTAAGAGGAACATAGAGCCTTTTTACCTGTAAGTGCTTTTATGAAATCCTTGCATGAATCTCTCAGTGCTCGAGTCTGAGTGATTTGTTCAGTGACACAAATGCTTTTTAATTCGGTGCAAAACTCTTTTATTTCTCTTTCGAAGAAGGTTATTCCATCTTCTACTTTTACACTGGCCATCGTGCTACAACAAACGTGTCAGTGAGTAAATGGTGCCAAAACACCCAAGCCAATTGCAGCAGATTACAATTATAGGACAAACCTTCAGGGCTGGCTTTATCCCTTCGGGTTGTTAAGACCTCTTCTCGTAAGTTGTTCTTTGTTGTTACCGTTACCGCAATAAGCAGTTAACAGCGGGAGCTGCGTTTCTTCTGCTGCTCCACCAGCGCTGCGTCAAGAGGAGGCCCTGCGCTGCGCTCGGGATTGCCGCGG